GGGGATCGAACTCAGGTCCTTACGCTTGCGCACCAGGCGGCGAAACCACTGAGCTAAATCCCTGGCCCTGATTTGTATTTTCTAAATGGTTAAAAATATTAAGCATTTTTTCATAAACTTACTGGCCATTTGTACTTCTTTTTTTGTTTTGTTTTGTTTTTGTTTTTTGAGACAGGGTCTCACTGTGTAGTTCAGGCTGGACTCAAACTCAGAGCGATCCTCCTGCCTCAGCCTCCCAGAGTGCTGCAATTACAGGCATGCACCACCACATCCAGCTCATTTGTACTTCTTTTGAGAAGGGCCTGTTCAAGTCATTTGCCCATTTATTAATTGGGTTGTTTGTGTGGGTATGTGTGTTGTTGTTGTTTTTGTGTTTTTTGGGGGGGTTACTGGGGATCGAACTCAGGTCCTTGCACTTGCGTAGCAGGTGGCGAAACCACTGAGCTAAATCCCCGGCCCCCTGTTGTTGTTGTTATTTGAGTTCTTTATATATTTTAACTATTCATCTTCTGTAGGAAGAGTAGATGGCAAAGATTTTCTCCCATTCTATAGGCTGTCTCTTCACTGTGTTGGCTGTTTCTCTTGTTGTGTAGAAGCTTTTTAATTCAGTATGGTCCCTTCTATTGATTCTTGCTATTATCTCCTGTGCTATTAGAATCCTCCTCCAGAAGTCTTTGCTTTGTCTGTGGCTTCAGATGTTTCCCGAGTTTTCTTTTAGCAGCTTCACAGTTTCATGGCTTATACTGTACTTAGGTCTTTGATTCCTTCTGAATTGATTTTTATGCAGGGTGAGAGACAGGGATTTAGTTTTTTAGGGGTTTTTTTGTACCGGGGATCAAACTTGGGACCTTGTGCTTGCGAGGCAGGCAGCGGAACCACTGAGCTAAATCCCCAGCCTGATAGGGCTTTAATTTGAATCTTCTACGTATGGATGTCCAGTTTTCTTGGCACCATTTATAGGGTTTTTTCCTCTTTTTCTTTTTTTTTCCACATCCATGCATTTATCTACTTGACAAAAATATAAAGCCCACCACCGTTTGTTTAAAAGGCTCTCTTTTCTCAGTTTGTTTTTTGGCTTCTTTGTCAGTATGAGATGTCTGTAGTTCTTCAGGTTTGTTCCTGTGCCCTCTGTTCCATTGTCTTATCTGTCCATTTTTTTGTGCTATTACCATGCTGATTTTGTTACTACAGCTTTGTAATGTAATTCAAAATCAAGTATTGCTCTTTTTGTCTTTCCCAGTTCTGTGAAGAATGACATTGGGATTTGATGTGGATTGTGTTGACTCTCTATAACTTTTGGTGGCGTGGCCACTTTAACAGCCTTAATTCTGCAGCTCCATGAACACGGGAGGTCTTTTCATCTTCTGGTGTCTTCTTCAATTTCTTTCTTCAGATTTCTGGAAATGTCATTGTAGCAATCTTCACATCACTGGTTAGGTTGATTCCTAGATATTTTTTGAAACTATTGTGAACGGAATCATATTTCGGATTTCTTTCTCCATCACCCACTTGCCCAGCATACCCTGAGCTTCCTGGGGGCCTGTGCACACATTGACCTGCACTCAGGGTGCCTCTCTGGTTCCTGTCTCAGGCAGGGACCCAATTTTGCATTGCATTTGTCATTTGAACCTAAGTATTGCATTTGGGAAGGGGACACAGCAAGATCTGTAGCAGGATTGTTCTCACACTGCCGTACCCTGCCCTACCACCCAGGGGCCCCTTAGGCAGCTCTGGGAGGTGCAGACCTTCTGTGCTCTGCACAGGGTTCCTGGGCCCAGAGCATGCAGGCAGGGCTCTGAAACTTCCCAGACCCTGCCCACCCAGGCCCCTCTGCCTGCCAGGCTCTGGACCACCTCCAGTGACCCTGCCACAGACTCCCACCCAGCCTGTAGGCTCCTCCTGGGGACACTGCAGCTGTGTGAGGAAACAGACAAGGCAGAAAGTGGGCAGGAGTGGTATTCAGCCTGTGACCTCAAACCTCAGGACTGCAGCTTCACCCTTTTTTTTTTCTTTTTGAGACAGGGTCTCGATATGTAGTTCAGAATGGTCTCAAACTCACAGCGATCCTCCTGCCTCAGCCTCCTGAGTGCTAGGTTTACAGGTGTGCACCACCACACCCAGCTACCCTCCTGTTCTTTCATTCTAGGAAGATGATGAGAAGCTAATCGAGGAGATCCAGAAGGAGGCCGAGGAGGAGCAGAAGAGGAAGAACGGAGGCAAGTGCTATCCCCAGCCACAGCCCACAGCCTGCGCAGGCTGAGCAGAGGGCCTGGGGCTGGGTGGGCACTGTCCCTCAGGGTGTCACCGCTCAGCTGCGGACCCCATCGAGGCTGGGGTGCATCCTGGGCACCTCGTGATGGTGGGGGACCGTGAGGATGGGTTTGAGCTCAGGAAGCTGACTGGAGAGAGAGGCCACCTCGCCCTTACCAAGGTGGGCAAGGGTGAGCAGGAGCCTCCCATGGTGTCAGCACAGGAGCTGGGTGAATGTGCTGCCTCCGGGGCCGTTGGATGTGACACACTGGGCTTCGCTTCTCTGGTGATGGGGAGGGTCCCTGCCCACACATTTATCACTGCTGCAGCCCCTCCTGAGCCCTGAGGGTTGGAGGCCGAGCGTGGCAGCATGTGGGGGCCCTACCCCAGTCCTCCACTAAATCATGCCCTCCTAACAGAGAACACCTTCAAGCGCATCGGGCCCCCGCTGGAGAAGCCCCCCGAGAAGGTACAGAGGATGGAAGGTCTGCCTCGGCCAGTCCCGCAGAACCTGCCCCCACCACAGATGCCTCCCTACGCCTTTGTGCACCCACCCTTCCCCCTGCCACCTGTGCGGCCCATGTTCAACAACTTCCCGCTCAACATGGGCCCCGTGCCGGCACCCTACGTGCCCCCTCTGCCCAATATGCGCATCAACTTCGACTTTGGTGCCCTGCATATGCCACTGGAGCACAACCTGCCCATGCACTTCGGCCCCCAGCCAAGGCACCGCTTCTGATGGCCTGAGCCCTGGGGGCAGAGGGCAGAGGGCAGAGGACCCCACCTGGGCCTAGCTATGCCCTGGCCTTCCCAGTGCAGTGGTGGCTCAGCACTCAGGTGGGCTGTTTTTTTCCACTCCATCCCAGAAGGGGCCACTGATCCTCTGAGCAGGTACCTGGAAAGGGCTGTGTGGCTCTCACTGGGCAGCAAAACCCTCTTCCCCAGTTCTGCCACCTTGGCAGCCAGCACAGTGCCCCTTGCCATGCGCAGGCCTTGTGTTTGCTGTGTCTGAAGCCCCTACAAAAAGAGGCGGAAGGAAATCATCTGGCCTGTCAACTCACCTGCAACAGAGCTGCCCCAGGCCCGTCCCCAGTACAGCTGGACCCCTAGTAGACAGCACAGTGACAAGTAGTGCCTGAGAGAGCTAGGGGATCCCACCAGCCCCCAGGGAGGCCAGGAGGAGCCTGGTACTCCTGCTGCGCACCCACAGCCTCGGTCCAGGGACCCAGCGTCCCACTCTCACACCCGTGCTTCCCCGGAGCTGGACCCTGGGGCGCACAGCAGCTGTGGACATCTCCCTGGGCCCAGAGTCAGCGCCTGGGCCTCCCCACCTCACTCCTCACCGAGGCTGCTCTTGGCCCAGCTGAGGGTAGCAGGGCCATGCGCACAGGCCTGAGGTGCACGGTGGGGGCGGGGGGGGGGGCTGCAGCCCTCAGCCCTCAGCAGCCCAGACCCCACTGCCACCATGGCACCCACTCAGGTCAAACAGCGCAGAGAACCAGCCTGTTGTTCAGGTTTTATTTGGTTGGGTTTTGTTTGGGGGGTGGTTTTTGGTTTTTTGAGACAGGGACTCACTTTGTAGTGCAGGCTGGCCTTGACCTCACTATGGAGCCTAGGCTGGCCTCAGCCTCTGGGCCATTCTCCTTTCTCAGCCTCCTGAGTGCTGGGATTATAGGTGTGCACCACCAGGCCCGGCCTGTTTTATTGTTGATCTGAAGCATTTCCTCCTGTTCATACACTTGGAGCTTTAGCCTATGAAAGCCTCCTCCCTCATCTCTGGAAAGGCACACTGAGGGCGCCCACCCCACACTAGGCAGCAGCTGAGGGCTGGACGACCCTAACACTCAGACCAAATGAAAGGTCTGTTCTCCGAAGCCATCCCAGGGGCCTCCCACGCAGCCCAGCTCCTGGGGCTTCACTGCCACCAACCAGGCGGCCACGGCTGGTGTCCCCCCCCGCCCCCGTGTTGGATGCCTATTGTCCCCCTACCTCCTGTGCGCTCCCCTGTGGTAACGGTGGAGACAGAGGGGTGAGGTCCTGGTGCTGGGCCAGGTGCAGCTGCGCCTCTCTGAGGTTAGACGAGTCAGCCCTGGGCCAGCGCCTGTGTCACTGCCATCCAGCTGTCCTAGCAGCCGGGAGGCCTCGCTCAGGCTGTCGCTGGGCAACCAGCACTTTCTTGTCCCATGTTGACTGGCCTAGTCCTTGTCCTGTGGCCACAGGGTTCCGGGGGTTGGCCTGGGGGACCGGGCACCTACACTTGGTTCTCTGATGTCTGTCCAACTATAGGGAAAGATCCGAGACGTGTCCTTCCTGCCCCGGCTCAGAGTGAAGGCTTTGAGGGGAGGCGGGTGGGGCCAGGAGGACCGTGCCTTGGAAGGTGGGCTGCACCCTGAGCAACAGGGCCCAGTCCCTTCAGTGCAAACTGCCTTCTCCGCTCTTCCGCTGGGGTAGAGGGGCAGTGGTGGCCACAGGTGGGAGGTGACCCCGAACTCTGTACTTCCAAGGCCTCAGGCAGCCCCGGCAGCCCAGGAGCCCAGTTCCAGCTGCACCCTGCTCCCCACCACGGGCCTCCATCCAGGGCTGAGGTGGGACCTAGGGGCAGGGGTGACAGGCCAGACCCATGCACATGCCCTTCCACAGGAGCCCAGCTGTCTCTGGCAGCCTCAGCTCTGAGGGAGAGAACCACCCCCTCTCTGCCTCACTCCCAGGGCATCTGGCCCTGCATGGCCTTGGGCTGCAGACCAGCAGGAGCCCCTGTCCCTCCGGGCAGGGCTGGGAGGCGCCTGCACTGGCCCCAAGGGTCGGGCCCTGCTGGGACAACAGGAGCGCCCAACGCAGCTGGCACCTTAACCTCTGGGGCAAGAGCCTGCCCAGCCACTGTCCCGATTTACTTGCCTTAAAACTGGAGAGGAATCTAGTATTTGCACTTAGCAGAGGATGTAAGTCTGAAGGAAAGTATGTGCATGATCTGTCACTTTGTATAAGATAGCAAAAAAGGGGGTTAAGTAGTTTATTAAATGTTTTTCTTCTCATAGTAAAAATAAAGTAACTGTTTAAACTGCTGTGTGTAAAAAAGCCTGTATCATATGTAACTTGGACTTTTGTAAATAAATGTTTGTGCATTCTAATCCCTCTGGATTCCTTTCTCCACATGTACAGAACCCTGCAGGTCCCCAAGAGCGGCCAGGTCCCAAGAGGAAGGACGAGGGACCTTCCAGGTGGAGTGGCTCCTGCTGGGAGGAGCTGGCCCCTGAGGTCCCACTGCCCGAGCAGCCACCGGGCCAGTGGGGCACAAAGGGCTGCTTTTTTCCTTTCTGGCTCAGAAGCCCCAGCCCTCACTGGCAGCACAGCTTCTCCCCCAGTCCCTGGGGCCACAGCCAGGGCATGCACTGGCCCTGAGACCCCAAATCCAGGCAGGCCACACAGCTGGCTTCTGAGAGATGGGGTGTCACCCTCTATGCTTGCTACTTTTTACTGATCAAATTTTGGGGCATTTTTTAAAACTTTTTTTTGGTTTTTGAGACAAAGTCTCAAACTCAGCGCCACCTCCTGCCTTAGCCTCATGAATGATGGCATTACAGTGTGTGGCACCATGCCCAGCTATTTAGGGACACCTGACAGTATACAGAAGGAAAAGTTTCTAAATAGGTCAAGGTGTGCACTTTCTGTGTTGGCTTTTTGAGACAGTCTCACTATGTGGCCCAGGGGGACCTAGAACTCAGGTGATCCTCCTGCTTGCAGTGCTGCTCCTCCTGTTGCGTTCACAGCGACATCGATGCTCTCCTAGCCCTCCATGCTCATAGCCCTCAGCACCGTGGGCTCAGTGTGGCCCTGTCCAGGCTGCTCACCTCCCTGTGGGGGCCCCTTGGTGCCACTTGGAAGCCTTCAGGATCCACCTGAGTGGTGGTGCTGGGACATCCCAGATGTGTCCCCAAGGTGGGGCTAGGGGCGGCATGTCCCTCTGTGTGCCAAGTGTCAGTGGCACTGCCTGCCAGTACCCAGTCTCAGGTGGGGGAAGCCCAGCCCCTGCAGTGAGCTGGCCACACACCTGACCGTGCGCGCAGCACCAAGTCTGCATCTACTCTAAACAGCGCCTCTTCCAGTAAGGAGCCCCTGTGGCTTCTGCTGAGGCTCTCAGGGAGCTGACCTCACCTGCCTTCCCTGCCCCCCTCCTTTGCTCCCTACCTCCAGCATGCCCACTGCCCGAAGCCTTGCTGCCTCCTCTAGTTCACAGCCCCCGAGGCTGAGGCTGCTATGTGCGGCCCCTGGGTCCCTCCCCACCTCACCCTGGGTCAGGGCTCAGCCACACGAGCCCTCCCCTCCTGGCTTCCTTGGCCTAGCCCTGGTGGCAGGCTGTGGGTCAAGTTCCTCTGCCCAGCACATCGGTAAGTGCCAGTGACCCAGGCTGTCCTGCGAGCCCAAGGCTTGGAGTCTGCACTCGGCCAGTAGTACCTCTGGCCTTGAGCAAGGCCCTCAGGCGTTGTCAGTCCGTGAAGGGTGACAAGACAGCACCCTCTCCTTGGGCTGTGAGCATCGGTGCTGCAGGCAGGACGAGCACAGGAGGGCAGAGCAGCCATGGTGCAATACCAGGTCGGGGGTCTCATCCTTCCCTGGCTGGCCCTAGAATTTTTTCTTTTTTTCAGTCCTGGGGATTGAATCTGGGGCCTTCACACAGCTACATCCCCCAGCCCTTTTTATTTTTTGGTACCGGGTATCGAACTCAGGTCCTTGTGCTTGCAGAGCAGGCTCCGGAAACCACTGAGCTAAATCCCTGGCCCTCCTCAGCCCTTTCTGTTTTTTGAGACAGGGTCTTACTGAATCACTTCAGTTGCCCAGGATGAGCTACAACTTTGGATCCTCCTGCCTCAACTTCCCAGCAGTCTGGAATTGCAGGTGTGCACCACCACGCCCCTCATCCCTAGAATCCCCGCCCAGGTGGGGCCTGGTCTGTGCGGGCCCACCCGCCCCTCAACAGTGACACAGTAACCAGCCTCTGATGCTCCTGCGCTGGGTCCACCTGCACCTGTGTCTGCTCACCGGGCGCTGGGCAGCCAGGCGACAGAAATGCGCACCCAGACACCAGCCAGGTGTTTGGAACAGGGACGAGCGATGGAGAGGGCCCAGGTACTGCACTGAGGGCAGGTGCTGTCTCTGGAGCGGGCAGGTGGCTGACAGGAAGGTGGCCCGCTCCTGCCCAGGATGCCTGGAGCATCCACTGTGGAGTCCAGGGCGGATTCTAAGTCCCTGTGGCAGGAGGCCCTGGAAATGCACTCAATTCAGCACCATGGGGCAGGACCCACCCCAGGCCTGGGCAGAGTTTCTGGGGAGGAAGCTGCCACCCCCAAGGCCCAGCCCCAGCTCCCCTCCCAGGCCAAGCCTGCCCACTCCCTCCTGTTCACTGCTTCTGGTGGCTCCTGCCTTAACCCAAGGTGCTACTCCACGCAGTGCTCAGTGGATGGGGCACAGCTGCAGGTGCTGCTGCCAGGGGCCCTGGGGTGCTGCCATCAGCTGGGATTCAGTGAGGTCACAGCCCCTGCCCTGTGAGGTCCAGCTTCTCCGAAGCACAGACACCACCCCAGCTGTTGGGAGCTGGCGCTGAGCACTTGCCCTCTGAGTGAACATGGCAGACCACGGGCCACTCGGGCAGATGAGCCGCCATGCCAGAGGTGTGCACCAAAGGCCACCTGTCCTTCCCTGTGTGCACAGCAGTGCTCGAGCCCAGAAGAGGATTTGTAGCTGGGAGGCAGCTGCCCAAGCTCACACAGACAGTTCTCGTCTTCTCCTTTCTGCCTGGTGCTTGTCCTTGGCTCTCTCCCCCTATCTTTCTCTCCCTACCCTCTCTCTCCTTCTCTCCCCCGCCCCTGCCCACCTCGCAATGAAGAAGCACAAATAGCACAATGGGTAATAAGAGTCAAAAATAAAAAGTCCATAGGGAGCCCAGTGTGATTGCGCATACCTACAATCTCAGCACTCTAAGAGGCTGAGGCAGGGGGATCACCAGTTGAACCCAGTCTGAACAACTTAGTGATTTAGTGAAACCCTGTCTCAAAATGAAAACTAAAAAGGGCTAAGAACACAGCTCAGTGCAAAGGCCCTGGGTTCAGTTCCCAGTACCACAGAATATTAAGCAACAAATTGAGTAAAGACAGTCTGACCTGCAGGAAGCCACACAAACATTAGCTTAGCTGTTTATAGAATCAGAATGTGTGGGGCTGAGGATTTAGCTCAGTAGTTCCAACACCTGCCTTGCAAGCGCAAGGCCCCAAGTTTGATGCCTGGTACAAAGAAAAAAATCAGAACATGTGGGTGAAGGTTCTTTCCACCTGTGTCATAGTGAACAAGGCATCTGGTCAGCTGAGCCTGTTTCCCCATTGTTAAGATCCAGGATTGGCTGCGCAGCCTGAGCAGCCCTCCTGGCTGTCCTGACAGAGAGACTGAGGGCTGCAGAGAGGTCTCCTAGTGTTGATGACAGTGCCAGCTCGGCATTATTCTCACCAGCCCCAAGAGGAGAAACCCAAACATCGTGTGGACAGAGAAACAAGCTGTGGCCGTCCAGGCCCTGGGGTGCTCCTTGCCTATAAGAAGGGAGGGAGGGGACTGGGGATTTAGCTCATTAGTGGTTCCGCCACCTGCCTCGAAAGCACAAGGTCCCAAGTTTGATCCCCGGTACCAAAAAAAAAAAAAAAAAATGGGAGGATGATGCCATTCAACAGCAGCATGAAAACCATGCCCAGTGCATGAAGCCAGACCGTGTGATGCCATTTGGGTGAAATCTGCAGAGTCGGCAAAGCCTTAGAGACAGACAGTAGATTTGGGAGTGCTTAGGGCTGAAGCAGGGATGGTGGGCTGGGGCTGAGAGCTAAAGGCCATGGGATTTCTGATCTCTTTTTTTTTCTTTTTCTTTTCTTCAGTACTGGGGATGGGAATCCACAGCTTCATTTGTGCTAAGCAAGCACTCTAGCCTGGAGCTACAACTGCTGCAGAATTCTAAGGGACAAGAGACACCAAGTGGGAATCAGGAGGATTTATTACGTTGAACACTCGGTCAACAGACTCGTGTCCCAGAGCTGGGCAATTGAATGAAGGAAAGTTCCAGATTTTTTTTTCTTTTTGGTACTGGGGATCGAACTCGGGACCTTGTGCTTTTGAGGCAGGTGGTGGAACCACTGAGCGAAATCCCTAGCCCTAGTTCCAGATTTTATACATTTAGTCAAAGGGGGGTGGTCTTTCCAGTGACACAGTGAATAAGCTTACCAGAACAGGACAAGGCAGACAGTTCAGTAATTTAGCCTTGTAAGAAGACAGTGTCTTGGACCAGGGATGTAGCTCAGTGGTACTGCACCTGCCTGGAAAGTGCAAGGTCCTGAGTTCGATTCCCAGTAGCCCCCACACACACACAAAAAAAGACAGGGGCTGGGGATTTAGCTCAGTGGTTTCGTCGCCTGCTGTGCAAGGGCAAGGACCTGAGTTCAATCCCCGGTACCAAAAAAAAAAAGACAGTGTCTTATGAATCATATGGGAACAAAGTATCATAACTTTGTTCACAGGGCCAGGGATTTAGCTCAGAGACACCGTGCCTGCCTCAGGAGTGTAAGGTCCTGAGTTTGATCCCTGGTACCAGGGGAAAAAAACAAAAAACTTTGTTCAAAGAACATAGTTGTTTACGGAGCATATGGTTCCTCGGGGTTATACAACTTCATTCACAGCACTATGACTGTCTACCTAAGTACCTGCGGAGGTCAGAAGTTACGGAAAAGGGGGGTGGGTAGAACCTGAGTGGGGAGCTGCTAGACTGCTTTCAGCTAGGAGATCTGATTTTCTTTTAAGTTCTGCTTTACACCGCAGTCCTTTTCTAAATTTTGAGATGGGGGCCGGGGATTTAGCTCAGTGGTTCCGCTGCCTGCCTTGAAAGCACAAGGTCTGGAGTTTGATATCCCCGGTACAAAAAAAAAAATTTGAGACAGGTCTAAGTTTTCTAGGGTTGCTATCAATCCTCCTGCGGAGTTACTGGAAATACACCGACTGGGATTAGTCACAGATTAGACTGTGCCAAAGAAATGATCACTGAACTTGAAGACAGCAGTTTGGAATTATCTAAAACAATCAGAAGAAAAAGAGAGGGGTGGGG